AGTTTTGATGCAAAAACGCATGATCGCACCGGCTCGCCTGGTGCGTTCCAGCCTTTGTTTTTGTTTGTAAGAAGTTGAAATTTTGTAAATTTTTGCTCGGTTTCTTTTTTTCAAGTTATTTTTAGAGAATAAGACGAAGTAATTTTTCTGATTTCATATTCATTCAACAAAATTCAGAAATAACTGAAAGAGCTCCGCCGACCTGGAAGTGTCCGGAACAATACTACACGAACTGCATGCAATTTGACGTAGAACAGGCTGGACAAATTTTGGCAACGAACATTGCTGCAGTAATACATACTGTTTTAATAGCATTTAATCCCGAAATGCGTCTTGCACAGAACGAGCAATGTACCGCAGCGATGCACTTTTACTATCTGAACTTGGAAAAACCAGATTCCAACAAAAGTATGAAGTAAAAGAGCTTCCCATGGAAACAGGTTACACTCTCAAAACGAATTTCAAAGCCCCTTCCCTCTCCTTTCGCCACCACCCGCGTCTTTTCCCTTCCCTTTCTTTTGCTACCTTCTACTACCAGAAGCAACAGCAGCACCTGGTTCACGTACATGTAGCAAACTTCTGCAATAATTTTTTGGCGATTCAAATACTTGCGCAAAGAACTGATCTGAAAATGCTTAAGAAGGTAATTCCTGCTATAAAAATTGGTCTAATTGCACTGGCGTATGTGGGCGAATGCGGTTATTGGAACTTGCTTCATTTTCGTAAACGCCAGAACTGGAGGTTCCAAATAAAATTAAAGTTTGAAAATGCATGAAGTTAGACCAATAAAAGAACAAATTTAATTGGGAGGTGCCGTTTTGTGCAGAACAGAAACAAAATGAACCGTGATACATAACACAGAGGTACTGGTACCAATATAAACGTGATTATTAAAAAAGTAAAATGCTGAATGAATGCTAATGAATTTGACTGAGGCCCATTCGCACCGGACTGTTTGTAAAGTGTGCCATGACAAATATCCGCAAAATATAACGCATGCCCGAAATAGGCCGCCAGTTTGGTAGAGTCACAAGGCTGAAAAAGGCACAAAATAAACTAAAGCAAGTACTACGAACCTTTAGGACCGTTCAGCTGCAACAAACCATCCCTTTGTCGGCGCTTTCCTTTAATCGTGGCGCTCAGTCCTCCCCAACTCATCGAACCCTCTTCTTCCCTCGTAACAGCACAAATACATAATTCTCAGTCCTTTCCTGTGACGTGACCGCCGGTTCACTGGTCATATTTTATATTCGGACAGCAGCGTTCCCTAGGCGAATAACGCCAGATTGCCGCCCATTGCTATTTTCTCCCGTCCCTGCAGCTGATTATATGCGTTATTTGGCGTAACCGCTCCACTCTCCCTATTCTCATTTCCTCCAGAACTGCGTAGTTCCAATCTCATTTAAAACCATCAGCTTTATTTGCGGAGCTAAACAGCACCACTTTACTTTATTCTGGGAATCTTTATTTTCTGGAAAAATGGAGTTCCTTTTGCCTTCTGGATTGCTTTTGGAAGTATATATTTGTGACCGAAAAAGAAAAAGCACGATAAAGTTACTTCGAGTTCGAGGCAATTACCAATAAACTGAAACATGTTGGCCTAATGGAAGAAACACGACGCACATTGGAGCTATTGAAAATTTAGTTGAATAAACTTGTAAAAACGCAAGAAGCAACATTCCAGCAAAATTTTCCACATTAATTTCCGTATGACTTTTCTACGGAATACACTTATAACTGGTGTTCCAGCGGAAACGTTTTTGTTTCTAATCAGCTGATGCTCAATCATTATCAATAAACTTTTTTTTTAAAAAGAAGATTTTTCTGAATGCCATTCCTCACTGAGGTAATTTGGAGTGAAAGAGAGAGTCTCGGGGTTGCAAGGCTTACCGCCGTTTCTAAAAAATATTTACTGTATTTCCACATGCTCAAAAAAATATGCACTGCCGAAGTTTTCATCAATAGTATTATTTATCTTTTTTTTACGCTAGACAATAAATAATTTAAAACAAAAAACCGTTGAAGAATGCGTTCGCTGACGGATCTAGCACAAGTGCCGCTACGCCTATGTTAAAGGTTGAGGGCTACACACCGCCAGTGGAAGAGACAATCTTTCCACAATTCATTCATTCGTTTCGATGGCAAATTGGTACTGGCACGCATAATTAGTATTGGATTCGTTGACTTTTTATCAGCTTGATCTTCTGGGCGATTTTTTTAAGCATCTTTTTTTTCCCCCCTCTTTCCGGACCTCAAAAGTTTCTCATGTGCGTCTTCTCAAGGTCTTGACTGCCTAGAGCGAGATCGACCTGACGAAATCTGGCTGTATTTGTGGAATACTCGTACTGTAAGCTTGCAAACCTGCAAACAAAGCCCTGCCGTAATGCATTTGCAGGGTAGCAGAAATACATTTCTCAAAAAATTAATGATCATGCAAAGATAGAGCAGGGAGGCGTCGGCAACGGCTGCGTGCCGGAGAAATTGACGTGTTGATGAATTAATTTACGATCGCTGCTGATTCGACCCTTCGGCTCGCAGCACCCGGAATGATGATGTCTTCTTTTCCAAAAACAGTCCCATAGAATTAACTTATTACCTACCGCCTTCCATCGCTGCTTTTCCCGGTTACAGTGATATGGCCTCGCTGGCCCACCTCAGCGCTTTTGAACGAGCACTTTTTATTCGGCACTGCAAATTCGCGTTCCTTTTGCACTCATTTAACTTCTTTCTGGCGCTCTGCTGTAACTAATATCACTCACTTCTGTCGCTCTATTCAAATTTTACCAGCCGTTCAGTTACGCAGGTCCTCAGTTCAGCACTACGCTGCTGTGCCTCAAATGGAGGGGAATGGCAACATCCCCTTTCATTAGCCTCATTTTGTATTTTGTGCGGTCTTTAAAAACACAGTAGTATCAGCAATAGCAGTAGCAGCAGTAACAAAAACAGCAATAAAATTGCAGGGGACTGGTCAGCAGTTATTGGGATTGGTCATTATTTCATAAGAAGCGGCATCGTGCATGCAGAATAAATGCACGCTACCGTATCACAGCGACAGCTTGTGCTCATCATAACTACGGTTGCCGTTTGCCTCCTCACACGTGGAAGCGTTGCCGGTAAATTACACTTTATCCAGTACGCCATAGCACTGACCTGAAGCTAGCGTTAACAGCTTCAGGTCTACGCTTTTGGAAACCAAATACAAGTTATTAATCGTGAATTCTTCCAGTTCCAAATTTGTAATTTAAAAAATTCACATTTTAAAAAATGAAGGCAATTTCTTTATGAGATAGCCTAGTGACCCATCCAGAAACCAGAAAAGTCTCCAATCCCACACCAGTTTCCTCGAATGTTCAATTTATGAATTTGCCAAAAGCTAGCGCTATTTATGGTCTCCTCATTCGGTTAGCATCTCAGCTAACTGCAGTGGCCCTCATGCCTCGAGTGTGCAGCTAAGAATGGTCAGGTAGAGAGCACTGTACTTGGCATTCTTTTATTCTTAACAGCTCAATTAGCAGTTTTTCGGACTTCGAATTTATCCTTGCAGGCGTCCCACTGGTCACGCCAGTCACGGCTGGCTACAATTCCTCTATTCTGATGTCATGCTCTGGCGCATTTGTCGTGGAAACTGGTGAAAAGGCAGCTGAAAATCGAAGCAGAACAGCAACGAGTACTTGTAATTTAAGCAAAGATGGCAATTTGGTATTAATCATTGCACGCGCTGCTGAACACTCTTCCAGAAATTACAGTTGTCGGGATGACAATATTCCGGATACGCCAGTTTCATTCTACATCAATGTAACTAGAGGTTGTTGAATTTGTGAAAATAATTCAAAAAATTTTCATCATGTGATTTTGCGCCCCAATTATTTTTTGCTTAGCGTAGCACACCCACCAAGGAGAAGATCGGAATTTTTTTTTTTTTTGGGTTGAAGATCTGGAAATGATCCATACCGGTAAGCTTGGTGAGCTATGACGGATTCGGCGAACACCTTGACGAGGGATTGCTGATCATCGTAACAAGGTCATTGTACTGGAAGCTGAGAAATGGTTTTGTCTTTCTCAGCGAGCAGAATACGGAGCGCTTTTGAAACTGTGTAGTCTGCTCAGAGTCACTGCAGCCCAAATAACTAGTTGATTAAATTGACAGGTGTCAGTGGTGCGCGAACAGGCTATCCATTTTTGCCGGTACAGTCGCCTGAAACATCCAGACTTCTCCATTCCTAGGAAATTTCTGCCACATTCTTTCGCCTACAGTTTTATCTCCACTGCTTGGACACTTAAGCAGCGAACCTCCGCTCACCGATCCTGAATTCGCAGTTCACCTACAAAACACTCATATTGTGCTTCTTTATATACAGATTTATAACATTCCGCAAACGAAAACTGATTTGTAAGCGAGCCACAGTTTTTGCAAATCTTTATGCGAATAAGATAGCAGCAAAATCTACCTTAGCGTAAACTGTTAAAATTTTAGCGTCCAGGAATGGCATTCAGTAAAAGTTCAATTAATACGAAGTGCTGTTGGTGCATGGAATCCAATTCCAGCCTCTTTTTATGCGTTTTATGCTGTAATTGTGCATTTTGTGCTAAAGCAATTACAAAAAACGCGTATTGTCACAGCCAGTTCTGTGACTGTGTGTGTGTTCGAGTGCGTTTTTTTCCGAGTTTTCAACTCAAGAACCAGAAAAGCTAGGAAGCTAATATTTTAGAAGCATGTTCCAAAAAAAAAAAAGAAAAAAATTAGGAGTAGAAAACTAAAGTTTTAAAAATATGCGCTTGGATGTGATATCTTAGATTCAGAAATGAGTGAAGCTTATGTCACCTAACACATAAGCAAACCAATCTTTGTTTCATCTCTTGGCGGTAAACTTGAGTGATAACGAATCTTTTAACAGAGATTATTTGCTAATGCAAAGGTATAACTTGCCCTTTTCAAAAGATTCCTTATGTAACAAACTAAAATTGATCGTGCTGGCATGTTTGGCATGCGGGACAACAATTTATAGCCATGCAAAGGAATTAGCTCGGCTAAGCCTGATTTCTTTTGAAGGTTACGAAAAAAAACTGATCTGTAACGAGGACAGATCAATTATGAACACAAAGTACTGAAACAGCCAAATATGAAGTTATTTTAAGATTTTCAGTGCCGCAATCACCAATGAACAGCAATGCTAACATCTGGCTATTTATTAGCGACACAGAAAACTGTCTTTCTGGAAAATGGGAACATCTGAAAAGTGACCAGCAGTGGATCGCCGATGGCGGTGAAATGATCTGCAGCAGGAAAGCTGTAATTAATAACTGTATCCAACAGCACTCTGCAAAACTGAAGCAAAATGACGGATTAAATGAGGTCACTTTTCGATAAAAATTACTTAGTTGCACGTTGAAGTTAGTGCACTGATTAAAACTTCTAGTAAGCACACATTAGTGACAATGCACGCTACTAGCACTGCCAGGATAGCTGGTTTTCCGATTTGATATTAGCGATGTTGCCGAGTCCAGATGCGCCAGGCTGTTCGTACCTGAGATGCTTACCTCCAGACAGTACCCACCGCTTGTTCGATGTATGTGCGCTACCTCTTCGAAAGCCGCCTGAGTGGCAGCACGCTTGGCGCACATCAGCGTGTGGCCGCAGCGCAAGTTTTGAACTCTTCCACCCATGTTATATAGTTGTCCGTGAAGTTAAAACGCAGTTTTTGAGCGTACGTTTGCTCAAAAAACCCAAGACAGACGGATCAACAGAGAGACAAACATATGTATGAAAATAAATCAGTTATTTTTTCCAGGGAAACGGTTTTCAACGCTACTTGGCACCAGTTATTACGGCTTGTATGCTGCTATTCATTGTTACAATTGTCATCATTGGTTTCATTTTCATGAAGCGAAAACATTCTGAGATCGGCGATTTGGTGAAATTATACAATGAACTGAACGAACAAACTGAGCAGAATTTGGTCGTACACGCTGATAAGCCTCTTCGTGAGCAACTGGATAATTTACCTTTTGACAGGAGCTATGAGATCCGATTGCAGCGCATTGTTATCAGAAAGGTTGAAAATTTTTCGCTCAGTTTTCCCAATCATTCCTCCTTTTTTACAGCTTTCTCATTATCTGTAATATTAAAAGAAAGCGCTACTGGAATTGAGAAAAAAGAATTAGGAATTAGAAGTGGCATATGGGAATACTCGGTTCTCTACAAACTGATGCAAAAAAGGCGATCTAGAAATAGGCTGCGAAAAATGCAACCTTCGGCACAAAGCAACCGTGGTTTCGAAAGAACTAACTTTTGGGGAAGTGCAACAACGAGCTGCCTGTAAGGGGATTAGGTCCCGAATCACTGACGGACTGAACTTGGAGAAGATATCTGGAGAACTCTATAAGGATTTGACTGCTTGAAATGCGGGCACAGCAGTACCCCACATGCATCAGCCTCTTGCTGCGCTTGCTTGTGAAATGCATCCCTTCAAACGAAAAGTGATAGAATTACTCCTGGAACTATCGAAGCTAAAAACTGTGGGTTCTGGAATTCCTTTATCGCTCTGTTCAATAATTCGCATTGTTGAAAGCAGTCAAAAACTATTCTGTTTTGTAAGAGCGATGAGAAAATTCTGGAGAATTGCTACTCATTACTTTTACTTTTCCGCATTTACACGCAATTCACTGGAGAGTGACCATTACCGGTCCATCGGGATTTTTCAATGTACAACAGCCGAGAGAGAAAGTTGACTACAACCAGCACAACATGCTGCTTTTTTTCATCAAGCCAACAGCCCAAGTTCTTTGAAAAAAGTTTAATTTCGCTGTAACCTCTTTTAATAGTGATAAAGCATTGTTTCTGGAACTTATTGGGCTATTGCGCTTTTGCAGGTAAAGAGTAAGGGTCGCTATGGGAGAGTTTACATGGCTGAGTTACGACCCAAAGAATCTGGAAAAGAAGGCATGGAGGTGAACGTAAAAGGCCCAAAGGAGGCCGCCAAATATGACGATGTACGATCGCTGGCTGATGAGGCAAAAGTGATGATGGCCATCGGGATGCATCCAAATGTGCTCGGATTAATTGGCGTTGTTATCGAGAATATGCCACGGTACGTGGAGAATTTTTATTTTTAACTGCTCTTTCACGCAACGGCATTTCACAGTCTTTTCTGTTTCTGAACAATTCCCCCCGTGCAGTTTGCTAGGAGCACTGATGTGTGTGGGTATAGGCCCGGCGTTTTGGGTGAGAATCGCTGTAAAATTTCAGCTTCCTAGCTTTTCTGGTTCACAAGTTGACAACTCCAGGAGCATACAAACATACATACATACATACATACACACACACAGGCAAGGCCTCGATAATGTGCGTTTTGTACAGAATTGTCAGTCAAATTCTGTTAATCGAAAAATAAGGAGCGCCAAAGATATATGCATATTTTATGGATTTGACTTGGGGTGAATTTGCAGTTTAGAGTGACCCAAGTAAAACTGAGCTGAAATAAACTGATCGAAAAACTGGAAAAAGTAAAAGAGTGCCGCTGAGGGAGACTGTCATTGCCCCTCCACTATCCTGCACTCTGGATAAACATGCAATAATAGCTGAGCAAAATAGAGCATCAAGCGGTAATGTCCAGAATTGCAAAATACCTTCGAGTGCTGTATTAACGATGCCAAATGCAGCTGGCAAAAGCCCTCCTTTTATTGAAATTCAGAGGTGGCGATTTGTACGTGGTGGTGGAGTATACTCTGCATAATCTCAAGACTTTTCTACACAAACGCAAGGAATATTTCATCAACGAATTGGTCTCCAAAGATGACGCGGACCAGGTTTCGCTACGAAGGACCAAAAGCAAACACGAGGTAATCCTACACATATATTTCCACTTTAACCAAGTATCGCGACCTTGAAAATTTTGGATCAGACTAGTGTTCGTACCCTACGTGTACATATGTATGTATAACCAACACCTAGGTATATACGTATTTATTTATTAACCACACAACAAAATATTAGCCATACAAAGTGAACTAAAATAGGAAGGGAGGAAGAGCGTAATGAAGCTTTGAGAAACCGAAACTCCCCAGAGCAGGATGGTCGAACCCGACGCAGAGAAGAGGTCGAGGGACAACTCACTGGGTTCGGAGGCAGGGAGCAGTGCTTTTGTACCCCAGTTACCACAGATCAAAGAGACTGCATAACTCTGAAAGGGGTAGGGTGTCCAAAGTTTAGACAAGGGACTAGGGGTGTTGCATCATAATGACGCAATGGCTCTTCATGAAATTTTAACAAAAAGTAATAAATCATTAAGCGACACACCGAATTTTTGCAAAAAAAAACCGCGGTTTTTACTTCTAGCATTGGCTGAGCGCTTCTGATTCTCTCACCTTACGCACAAAAGCTACTTTTGCAGAAAATACATAAAACTCTGGGACCGTCGATAACGACCACGGTCCTATGCTCATTTGCATATCAAATCGCCAATGGAATGGAATTCCTGGCACGTAAGAATGTTTGTTTTTATCATCAGTTCTTTTCTTCAGTACAGAAAATATTTATATTCTCGAGGCTTTTTTCCCATGAAAACAATAAAATGCAAAGTTCATTTTCTTTTTTTTTTTTGCAAGGTATCTCCTTAGCATTCCAGTATTTGACAATTTAATACTTTCGACTGGTTTTCTTATGTTGTTTAGAATTAGTGCTCTGTAACTCAGATTAATGCCCAGACCAATTTACCGCATTATTATTGTCTTATCGAAAGAGTTATAGCACAGACGAATGTGGCGATGCATTTGTTTTAACTTTATAATTGTAGTGTGTTCATCGGGATTTAGCGGCACGTAATGTCCTGCTTCGCGAGAATCGCATTGTTCGGATAGCGGATTTTGGCGAGGATCGGCAGTGGGACTATCTTTATTTGATGCAGGAGATCGAATACGCTTCACCCTTCAAAATTATGGCTCGCGAATCGATCAGTGAGTCCCGATTTACCGAGAAAGTAATTTTTTCCAGCACTCTTTGCAAGACTTAATCGACATAAATTTTGTCCCGGACAGTCGACTAAATGTGCAAGTTGACATTTTAAAATTTTAAATAGCTATAGTTTACTGCATCATCCTCCTACTACGCAGCTGGCTTACAAGCGAAAACCACGTGGAACTTAAAACCAATCTGAATTTGTTCATTTGTGAAAATTTATCTATTAAACGCTAACTGCTTTCATTAGTTCTTTTCCAGATTAGCATCCTATTTTTTGTTGGTTAATTGGGTAGATTTTTTCTTTGTTTGGTATGACTATTACTAGAATAATAGAATTTAATGAGTTGCTGAAAGTTTCGAGGTCAGGAACGCAATGTTTACACTTTTTTTGACATTTGATGACATCTTGTTTTACTTAGCGATTTCAAGTAATTCGCTGTCCCCCATTCAAAATTTGCCACCAAACTGGAATTCGTGAAAAACACTTATTTGAAAAAGTCTCCCTGCTTTACGATTAAATGCAGGTATACTGAAGGACAGCAAAATTCCCACTTCCCTGAACGTAACGAAATCACTTAGTGACCTCTCAATCTCAAACTGCTGCAGACCGATGTGTGGTCGTACGGTGTATTACTGTGGGAAATTTTTACGCTTGGCGACGATCCGCACAAAAATATCCATTCGCCGCAAAAACTAGCGGAATATTATCAGCACGGTGGACGTCTCAGGAAGCCCGTTTTTATGCCTGAGAATGTGTTAGTTTCATTTACTGCATCATGCAAACCGATGGACCCTTGCGCCGAATGCTACTGAGATTTTATGCGCCTGCACAAATCTCGCACCCTGACTCGGAAGCCCTCAATGTCATGAAACCGTCACGACATACACAAAGAAAAAAAATCAAAAAATCAGGTGTTTTGCTCCATTACGCCACATACATTCCTATTTTGCACTGCAACCGGACCTTGTTAGTATGGTGATTGTTGTCATGAACGGAACCCTTTCTCGAAAATTGTTCTGGACTAGGAGGGAATCGAACCACTCGTCCTCACATCCGGATGCAATGTGTCACCACTACACCACCAGTCCTCATGTTCCAGGTTCAGCCTAACAGTACATCTACTGATGTATCTGCCTTTCAAGACAAGATACACATCCCCTTTCTTCTCTTCTTTCTGGCGGCTTCTTGGCTGGGATTTCGTGAGTTTCCCAAGACAGTTGTGGCCTTGATAAACAATTAAGCAAAACGAAATTTTTATAAAAAAATGGTATACAGTCTACACCAAATCTCTGCGGCCTACATTCTCTGTTACATTGCTGTTTTTTGCAAGCAGTACTGCTTTCTGGAAATGTCATTTGAGAACGGCAGACGCTGAATTCATCGAACTGAACTAATAAACCAAATTCAAAACTTAAGCTTAAACACAACCTTGCCCACCATGCATAAACGATTATTTAAAGAAATGTAAGACAGTACCAGCCCAAACGCAGTTCGTCTCACCACTATATTCAGGGCGCACGGGCAACCAGTGTGGATATCTCATGCAACTGATGTTACTGAGATGCTCCTACACGTCTGATGGGGCTGAGCCAGGCGTTTAATTTACAAAAATGCAGAATGAGCTAAAGTGCCGTAGGCTTTGTCATAATGGCATTCACTGTAATGCAACTAAATTGCAGCTCAACATTGATGTTTGACTGTTGGCAAGAGAATCCGAGTATGAGACCAACGTTTCTGAACTGTAAGAATATCACTCAGAACATTCTGAAGGAGCGAAATCCTCAGGTATATCATA